GAATCCTTATTTCTGAGTTGATATTAAGACTAGGGAGGAAAATGTTACATAATACTTAGGAAATGCCAGATATTTTATTAACATCATCATTAGACCCTATATTTTATTCATTCATTGATTAATTAATTCATTCAACAAGTATGTTCTGAGCATTTACTTTTCAGGCATAATGCAAAACACCAAGGAGAAAAAGATAAGATAGATATAGCCTTCTCCATTAAGGAGATCACGTCAGCAAAGAGAGGCACGAACATGTAAACTGGGGCACAAGGATCACATGTTCAAACCCAGCCTCTGAAACTTAGTAACTTAGTGAGGTCCTATCTCAAAATAAAAAATAAAAAGGTCTAGGGATGTAGCTCAGGGCAAAGGCCCTGCATTTTGTCCCCAGTACCCCTAACACCAAATCAAATCAAACCGTGAGTTCTGCGCCAAGGTTAATAAAATTTCTGCTAATCACACTATCCATCGGGGTTGAGAGGACAACAAGAACTCAGATGGTTAATAGATCCTAACAGGATGACCTCACCAAAACTGAGGTCTGTGTGAGAGAGTACAAAAAACAGAGAGCTCTGTTTGCTGATCATAAAGGAAACCAAAGACTTTTCTGGGTTCATCCACAACTCACTCCAGGTTTCTATTTGTGGGTTAGTTGTTTCCTAGAGCATCCTTCCTCTCAGAGCTGCCATCCTCAATCCTGCCCAGCCCCTAGATACTAGCTGTACTCTGCTTCATCACCAGCACCACCTCCCAATTAGACCAAGGATGTGGCAATCAGGCTGCCCAGAATTGCTCTCTCCACCTTCAGCTCACCCTGAGCAGAGTTCAGATTGCACATTTCCCGACACTCAGAGAGATCCATTAATATTTAGCATGTTACATTTCCAAAGCACTTTACTAACACAAATTGATCTTTTCAGCAGCCCCTTGCAAGGCAGCTCGGTACTGCCAGTCCTACTGCGGACCTACAGCTTTGGGAAGATAAGCTACTTAGGCTGGAGCCATGACTGGTGAGCTATGGATCCAGATTAGAAATAAAGGTCGATGACACCAGTTGTCTAAGCCTCCAGACAGAATTCTAGGGTGGCCATGAAACTCCTCCCTACCCAGGAGGTTCTGTAACAAAGCAGCCCTCACAAGGCTTAAATAGAGTATGTCTCTTTAAGACTAAACTGCTTACAAACCAACTACCATTTATAGAGCACTTATTATGTGCCAGGAGCTGGAAGCTTTACATAGATTGTATCATTTAATTATCACAACCCTTGTCTGCCTTCTGTGATGTCATTATTTTGTGAGTCAGAAACTGAGGCATGGAATGATTAACTTACATAAAGTTGCATGTCTAGTAATTATAGAGCTAGTATTTAAACCCAGGTCATTCAGCTTCAGAGATCTTAACTATTATTAACTATTTTACATGTGGGTAGAGGGAAAAGGTTAAGTGAAGTTACTCTTTGTGAGGTTCTGCCCATTTCCCAGACATTTAATTCATCATATGCTTTGCAAGATTATTTCTGGAGGTAAAAGAATTAAGGAGGAGGAGATCTGTCTGCAAAATTGTTTGTGAAGAATGAGAATGTAAACTAAAGTTATTGATTTCTTGGCTTTCTCAGATTTTTCCATTGGCTTCCCATTCCCTGGATGAGGGCTTGAGTTACAAATTCTAGGCTGTCCCTGAAAATATAACCTTGTGACACGTCTGGCCAAATTTTCATCTTGGTGTTCTGGCACTAAATAGAAAGAATCATTATCTATCAGATAGGAGCCCTTATGAGTCCATGGAAAAGGGCTTGAGACTGAGGGATTGTATCTTGTGTAGGAATTTTGAGGAAGGGTCACTTTACCTCTACAACTATCCTAAGGGGAAAAATAATTAGCACTGTAACTTTTAAAACTATTTACTTCTTGTTAATTTATACACCTTATGATCAAAACTTTGTGTAATATGTGGCTGACCTTTTGTTATTCCCTTAGAGTTTACCAAACCATTTCCCATTTATTATATATCTTAATATCCATGGCTACCTGATGAGGTAAGCAGTCTTTGTGGACTCCATTTTACAGATGAGGAAGCTGAGTTTTAGTGAATCATCTAAGGTTTTTTTTTTTTTTTTGAGACAGGGTCTCACTATGTAGTTGAGACTGACCTGGAACTCACTATGTAGCCCAGGCTGGTCCTGAAGTCACAGCGATCCTCCTATCTCAGCCTCCCAAGTGCTGGGATTACAGGTGTGTGCTGCACACCTGGGCATCTAAGGGTAAATACTTTACAATAGTAGAAAATTTGTGGGGTTCTTATCTCAAATTTGTTCCCTTACACATATTACTTTGCTTTCCAACTCTTCATAGGTATTCATTAAAACCTCTGGTGAATGACAGAGGTCCTCAACCTCAGTTTGTAGTGGAAAGTAAGGCTTGCTGCACATCCTGAGGTAGGTATTGAAGGTGTCAAAATCAGGGCATAGATGATGCCATGTTGGAACCATAAAGTCCAAACTATTTATCAATTATAGCCCTGAGGAGTCAAGTTGCTCATAGATGATTCAGCCAGGATAAATGTGGGCACAGTATCACCAAGTTCTTCCCTCCAAGTAGGTATGTGGCATTGGGTAGTCTAGTCATACAGTACAAGCCTTGAGATCAAGAGGTGGCTAAAACAGCCTTAGCAGACAATAGCAACAGGTGCTGCGTGACATCACAGCCCAGAGATTCATCCCAAATAGTAGTTGCTGCCATGCCCATTTTAAGGTGCCTTTAGTGAGAGTTGCTGAGTCCTCTGACATAGGCTTTGGAGTTTGGAGTTACTGCCATTTCTGAGAATTCTCTTGCTTCTCTTGGTGAATTAAGTGGAAGCTCTATGTTGATGTCCTGCCCTTCTATTGTCCTAAAAAAACACAACAAAACAAAACCCAAAGAGCAAAACTCCAGTTGATGTTTTAGACCCATGCAATTCTGGATGCTAGTCATGAAGGTCCTAATATTCAAAAGCTGGATTCTTTGTGCTTATGAGCTGAAAGTCACAAAAAGAAAGAATCCTTAACTTAGGAGTCAGCCCACATTTCTAAGGAGAAGACTTATCTTTTCTTGATAAAAATTTCCTGCACGTCTTCCATGCCACGTTGGTAAAGGTGGTATTATATTGGTATTATATTGAAACTCAAAAAAGACTGTGAAATGTCCCCCTGGAGAGTTAGGGCTTTTCTCTGATATAACCCTTCACATGCCTCTTATCTCTTAAATATGTCATGTTTGAACTGTCCATTTTGAAACTAGGCTGAGGATAACTATTTCCTAATCACCAGACAGACAGACAACATAGAATCCCTGAGTCTGAGAACCAGATAGCCTCAATCAGTTATCCCAGGACTTCAAAAGGTCATACTATTAAAACAAGAGACCTGGCACCAGGAATATCTTAAAGTAGTATAATACCCCACTTTTGAGAGCTCAGATCTGAAGCCAGATTGTCTTGTTCAAAATCTCAGATTTGTCACTCATTAGCAGCTTAGCCCTGGGCATGTTATAAACTTTCTGCATGTCTCAGTTTCCTTCAGTGTAAAATGATGCTAAGTGTGGGTTCCACTTGATAGGACTGTGCGAGGATTGCTTCATATCAGGTGCATAAAGAGTTTAGCACAACTCCTGGAACACATTAAACATTTGTTAACTGTTAACTGCTGTTATTTAATAAAGGAGAGGTCTTTGCTTCCTCTGTGATGTTTCTTTTTCTTCCTCATGTCCTTGACTTTCATCCTTGACCCTCAGTCTAGTATAATTTTCTAAAACCATTTGTTCCAGGATCCTTGCCTTCTTCTGGTCAGGAATACAAAGAAAAAACAGCTTGCATTTGAATTTTAATTTTTTGGTACTGCCTACAGCATCACCTTAAACTAATATATCACAGATTGTTCTCACCCAAGAGATAAGGGCCCTTTGAACCAGCCTTTCTTTATTATGTTAAAAAAAGGCCTTTTGGCTTCTGGTTGCTTTATTGTATTTTGTAAGGCACCAAGCACATACTGGATACCATGTAAATGTGAAATGCTCTAACAATAGTAACTGAGACAAATAAAAAACTCAAGGAAGGGAAGTCACCATTTTGAATTTAGCTTCTTATTGATGGGTTGAGTGATTGGGAGAGACAATGTGGCTCCAAGGCTGAAGAGCCAGCCGGGATTCAGAGGGTAGAGATTTGAATCTCAAAGCAGCAGCCACCGTGATCCCAGACAAGCAACTTCCTTTTTCTGGACTTCGAATTCATCCCACGAATACTGGGCTTGACGCCAGAAAACCATCTCCAACGGATGTTAAGCTGGGCATGGTTGTGCAGACTGTTCCCTGAAAGGGCACCAGCTGAGGGGTTAAGTGGGAGATGGAATGTAGTTCACTCTGTGCTCTTCAATCTGCACCCTGATGATGTTCATCTGGAGGAAGGGGGCACTTTTTCTAATTTGCACAGTAGTACTATCTCGGCTAAAACAGACCCTGTATTAAACAATTTGACAGTGATAGGGCACGGCACAGAATGGATAAATTCATTCAATACAGCTACTGAATACCTACTATGTGCCAGGACCAATTTTGGGGTCCAAAGATAAGAAACAGATCTAACCAATTACTGTCCTTGGAGCTTTCCTTCATTCACCAGCCAATCTTCCATTATATTCAATCTGAGCAAGTTCTGCTAATAAAATGATCAACCCAACCCATTTCTCTTCATCCCACTGCTAGCACTTTTATTTCATTATTTCTCACTTCGACTATTCCAGTAGATCGGCTCTTTCCTCTATTGCTTTTCTTATTTTTTCACTTTTGACCCAGGGTCTCACTAAATCGCGAATTGTGTTTCTCTTGCCTCACCCTTCTAGAGTGTTGGAATTATAGGCACAAGTCCAGTTGCCAGTCTGAAAAACAAAACAAAACCAACCAAACAAAAAAACTTGAAGAAGAATGAGGGGAATGGCTTGAAAAGAAGGAGGCAAAACTGGATAGTACCATATAAAATAAGTGTTAATGTATGACAGCAATAAGTAATGTTTACGTTAGATAAGTCTGAAAATATCCACAATGGGATCAGAGGCAAGGACTCTTTCCGCGACGGCGGAAGCAGCAGGGCAGATTGGCGTACACAGTGAGAAGTGAGGATACTATAGAGTACTTCTTCAAGAAACCTGGCTGTTAAGAAGACATGGCTGAGTGGGAAGTGAAGCCAACTGGCTGGTAACGCGCGTAACTCAGGGGGCCTCGCCCTCCAGCCCTCGTCACTGGCCAGCCCCACCCCAGGCGACGGGCGCGGTGGGCGTGGTCGGGCATCGCGCAGACTACGTCCCCCAGAAGGCTTCGCGGCGCAGGGCGGAGTTGAGGCCTGGCGCTAGCTGCTGCGGCGCGAGCGGAAGAGACGGAGCTTGGGGAGGCGGCGGAAGAGGAGTTCGGCGGCGTCCCGGTAACCACTAGTCCGCGTTTCCCCCCTTTTCTTCGGTCCCATGTTGAGGCTCCTTACCCCCACTCCTGCCGTCATAGCCAAGGGCACGACTTCCTTTGCTGGTGTGTTTGTCACTAGTGTTTCTTTACTCACGTGATGCGCTGAGTCGTCCCCTATCGGGGGCGGAGGTTACTGGAAAGAGCCCGCCCTTCGGCCTCTCAGGGCCCGGGTCTAGGCTGATGGTCCAGGTCCCTTCTTCCCTTGCTGGGGCCACGTGCGTGCCTTGGCCCTCGCCCGAAGTGTTCCCCCCGCAGGCGTCTTCTTTTTTTTCCAGTTTCAACAGGTAGTCCGCAGAGTCGTATTCCCTTCAGGAATACGAGGTCGTGGGCCGCGGCACGCAGGGGCAGCCCCTAGGCGACGACCCTGGGGCTGCGGGCGATTCCTGGGCTCCGAGTCCGGCGGGCTAATCCGCTCCGCGGCTCGGAAGTCCCGGGCTACTCGAACTTCCTGCCTTTTCTCGTCTGAGCTGGGAAGACATCAAGTCCCATTATCAAAGTGTCCCCTCCTCCCTTACAGCCTCCTCTCAGAGTTGAGTAAGGGAAGGTCCAAGTCCCATTATCAAAGTGTCCCCTCCTTCCATACAGCCTCCTGTCGGAGTTGGGTAAGGGAAGAGGCACTGTCTGATGTCCGGAGGAAGTCTCGGACTGCCTCTTGCTGGATCTTGCAGTCTGTTTACTGCCGCTTCAGTTTCCTTGTTTGAAAGATAGGTCTTTTTCTCTCTTCTGCTTTCCAGGATTATGAAGTTAAGCAAAAAAGATACATGTGCCAAATCTTTGGACTATAAAGCATATTTGAAGTATAACCATAGTATACTGCCTTCAGTGCAAGTCAGTTGAATTTTAAAATCGCGTTTCCGTCATTATAAAGATCAGATGAGTTAATATTGGGAATGTCTCTCTGGAAACTGATATGGACCACACTAATGATCTCAGGCCAAATTTCAAGAGAAGAGGTGGCATTAGGGCTTTATCACCTGTGGAGTCAGTTTTAAACTTTGCCTGGGTTTTAAGGCCCACCAGGATTTCGATTCTCCTTTCTCTTCAACACAGCTGTCTACCCTGCTTGCTCTGTTATTATAACCTTTCTTTAGCAGTGCACAGGTACAAGCAAGCATCTGAGAAAGAAGAGCACTTAGAACTCCCCAAGTATAGTGCTGAATTAGTATCAGTCTCTCATTTTCAGATAATTCACTAAAATTAGCTCTTCGAACAGAAAGAATCCCACTAACTTGAGGGTAGTAGTTGAAATGTGTTATTTTTCACCTATCCTACCCATATGTGCTAGAAGTTTCCTCACAGTTGAGAATATAAATAGCCAATTCAGGTCTGGTTTCGTGTTTTGTTTTGTTTTTTTGCACTGAAAATTTTGCATTTATTTTTCTCAAAACCAAATGCTGGGATAGCATAAAGACTACGGCTCAGACATTCTTTGGATTTAACGCATAATTACAATAGTCACGTGCACATCTATGTAAAAACTAAGAAGTTCCTGTTAAAATCATGTGTCAGTAGAACCTGTTTAGAATTGGTTATATAATATACACAACATGTATACTACTTTGTAGCACAAAATTTCTCAGAACACACATGAAAAAATAATTTATATAGTACTATTTTATAACAACTGAAACTCAGAAAAAAGTGATTAGATTATTATAGGACAACTACTGCCCTGTTTCTCAAAATCCTTTACAAAAGGAGGTAGATTCATAAATTAACAGTTCAAGGTCTGGTTTTTTAATGTTAGTTTTTTTTTTCTTTTTTTAACCTGCTTCCAGTTTAAGCTTAACTTCATCTGTAAGGACTCCAAGTTTCTTATTCTTTGCTTTCTTAATCTTTTCCTTAATGGTAGCCACATCAATTGTAGTTTCTGTAGACGCTTCATTAAGTTTTGCAACTGGCTTTTCTTTAGGTGGAATAAATGCTTTATTTCTTTCCTCTTATCTCTTACTGAGAGCTTCTGCTTGTTTAGCCTTTATTGTTTCCATTTTCTATCGCTTCTTCTGATTTGCCTTCAAAAGGTATTCACTATTAGCCAATTCTTTGTAAATTTGACTTTCTGGCTGTGGTGATGGGAATGGTGTATACTCTTTCTTAACAGTTTTCTTTTTTGGTTCTTTGTGTTTATTCACATTTTTGTGTTTGAACTGTGGCAAAATCTTTCCCAGCTTTGTGATCGTAATTGAGAATCTTTTGCCAATTTTTGTTTAATCATTACGGTTTTGATGTTATAAATTGTATGAATATTCTTCATGGAATCTAGAACCACTTTTCGAACCTCTTTTAAGCCACTAAAAGGTCCAGTGGCTGAAACTGTATTTCCCTGAACCATAATATAACAGTTTGTTAAGAGTTCTGATGCCTTCAAGGTAGATCCTTTGGGACCAATAAGTCGTTGTCTTCTTTTTAGAAATCTTTCTTTATTTCTTACTAAAGAACCTGTTTTAATGATGTCACACGCAATATCATCCTGAAGAATAAGCACTACCTGTTCAAATGAAACACTTTTTTGCTAACGGTTTTATTAGATCTCTGGCCCTATTGATGATGTATGGATCAGAAGTCTTCTTTGTAGTACAAACAGTCACGCTGCCCTCAATGAGGTCCAGGGTTGCATTAATGTGATGTTCATTCAAAGCCTTCTGCACCAAAGGCCAACACTCTTTGAAGTTGGCCTCTCTATATTTAGGGAACAAAGTTGCAAAACTGCTCTCTTGGAAGAGTCCTGTGGGATTGTCCTCTTTAAAAAAAGCTGGTTCCTTCCAGCCATCAGGAACAGTGAGAAGTTCTGATTCATATATTCAGAATCAAGCAAAGAAAAATACCACAGTTCAACATCCAGCAACTTGAAGTTCTCACACAACTTCACCTTGGTTCTCTGGCTTTGGTTTCTCTGGTTCATTTTTTACAGTTAACCTTCAAGACTAAGCAGGTTACTTATTATTCTCTTATATTTCCACTTGTGGAGAATTTTTTCATGCAATTTTTAAAAAGATTTGGGGCATAGTAATTAGGTACTTTTAGCCTGTATATGTTCTGAAACCATTGGTTAGAAAATACCAACCACTGGTTGAATATGGTTCAAAAAACAGGATGATGATAATAATTTTAGGTATTTTCCTGAAATTCCATTTATTTAATTGTAAAATGAGGTAACAGTTATTCTTAATTTATAGACTTTAAAAACATTATAAATAGAAGTTCTCAGTTAGCAGTTGTGTTTTATATGAAAATTATAGGGACTAGAGATGTGGACCGGTAGTAGAGTGAATGAGGCCCTGGGTTCAATTCTCAGCAACAAAAAAAGAAGAAAGCCTCTTAATTAATTTATTTGGTAAATCAGAGTTTTAGAGAGTCCTATAATGCTGTTGTAAAAAGGTGGCTGTTGGGATGTGCTGTGATTTCTATTTTTGTAGGTAGTCCAAATGTTACTCTTTACCTAGTTACTTGAAATTGGACTGGTGCTTCTTTTCTAACATTTCTAACCTGTAGTAAGAATGCACTTCTGCACATTGTAGTTTATAGCAGAACAATTATGCATTTTTATGACTCAGATATTGACTAGGGTAGATTTTTATGCAGCAGCTTTTGTCCTTTTCAAGAGAGGCTCATTGACTAAAATTTCAGCCTAATCTAGAGTCTGGAAGGTTTGATGACCTTTGTTTTTTTTTAAGTGACTGCTGCTGCTGCTATTATTGGTGTGTGTTTACCTGTAAAGAATGAGTTTAGAAAAGCTAAGGAAGAAAGCCTTACAGAGAAAAATGATTTGTTTGTCAAGGTAAAGTCTTAGGATTGAACATTGAAGTATGTACTTTTCTTTCATGCACCATGTTGACTATCATATCTGCAGATTGAGATGTAAAGGAACTATTTCCTTTATTCTCTTTTCATTGTATCCCTTGGCTGTGCTTTTCCAGTTTCATTTTTACCTTTAGTTATGAATTAGCAAGGTAACTATCTTTTGCTCCATAGACTTGTATAAAAAGCTGGCAGTAGTCACTTTCATTAAAATCTACTTGTGTGCTATAGTATGTTTTTTTTTTGTTGTTGTTTTTTTTTGTTTTAAACACTTTTGAGCTTAGATTCTCTCCTCTCAAAACATAGACCAATTTCTCCTAGTCCATGTCTGTATTATTTTGTTTCACTCTTTTACCTAGCTTTCTGTATAGTTTTCCATTCTTAAAATTCATTCTTCAGTTTTATTAATATTTGTAGTCCTCATATCTTTTTTAAAAATGCCAACTGTCTGAGTTAGGAGTAGGAATAAAATAGTAGCAAAGAAGCACTGTTGCTGTGGTTTTTCAGAAGTTGTTAGGTTTCTAAATAATATGGATTCACCTATGAAAACGATGATACAAATTTCTGGAGTAGTCAGGGAGCTGACAGTTTGTGATCATTTAACATGATAAAGAGTCCAAAGTGTGAGCAACAAGTGTGTTGTATTTCTAATGACCAAATCTACTTCTTAGAAAAGAATTTGAATATGTTTTAATATTGGCTTGCAATTGGACTGTTTCAAGTCTTTGCTATGCAGTATAAGAAGATTATTAAGGAAGGGAAGCACTTGAATTAAAATCCTCAAATTTATATTAGTAGCCCTATTTCTGTTTTCTTAACTGTAAAATAATAATAATAATGAAACCAACACTGCTTATTTATAAAACTTAAAGGAAACAAGGATGTCTTAAAATGGAGTGGGTAACTAGAGGAGAGAAAGTCAGAATTCAAGAGGAAAATACAGCCATATAAACATGCAATAGTCAGTGAGAATTTGGGAGAAGTCAAAAACATTGAGCAGGATATTACACAGACGTTTAGAAAGCAGGGCAATCTAATGTAGAGAGAAGGGTAGATTTAGAAGTCACACTTGGAAATGAGAGACAAACAATTAAAAGGAAGGAAATAGAATGAGAGGAAAACCAGGAGGGTATTATCAAAAAGTAGAGAGCTTATTCAGTTGTT